TCCTAATCTATATGTATTCTGGAAAACTCCCACAGTCCATGTATTATAGAGGATCCTAGCTCTTATTAAGTAAAGAGACTTCTACATCTGAGTAGAATGCATCTATGCTTTACCGCAAAGGTCTATAAATCTGACAAATGTATTCATAGTCCACAAGCTTGTTGATATTTAAGATCTGCTTTTTTGCTCAGGAAATATGAATCCGTAATGTTATATATGTCTCTTCAACCTATGAGCTAATGATGTCAGAGTCTTCAGCTACAATGTAAAAGAATGTAAGCCCTTCCAAAAATAAATCTTATGGAAAACATTAAATGCCAAAAGCCTCTAGATTCCTAAAAACACCTTGCCATCACTGATATTTTTTCTGTGATTTCAACTGAAAAGGTCAGTTTGGTGCTACTTTTTGATACTAATTCTATGACCCCTAAAAACATTATTTTAAGAAGGGCGATGAAGAGACAGATGCACAGAAAGGAATGTCATTGAAGATGCTCTTGCCTTGATGCACCATCAAACATGTAAATGTGAAAAAGAGTTTTGTTGCCTCAAAGACAGATCCATCAAAATGACATTGAGCACAGAGCTTAATGATAGCTGACAGTCTACAATACCCAGAATTCTTTGTTGACTTCCTCTGCTTAGCTATTTAAGGATTTTCACTTGTTCTCCACTCAAAGGATGAAGCACATTATTGCCCAGATATCCCCAACAATTTCCCCAAGTTCCCCCCAACAAGCTGGATTCTTAGGTAGCATGCCATTCAGGGTTGAACACTTTATAGCTGGTATGAACTGGACAACAACTCTTCAATGACAGAGGGACAAGTTCAACTGTGGTAAGACTGTATGTGCATAATTTTCAAGAGAAGTATTAAAACTTTGCTGTTTTGCTATTCTATTGCAATTGACAAAATAGTTTTTCTATAGACTGTAAGCTCGTTTGAGCAGGCTCCTCTTCAACCTATTGTTCCTGTAAGTTTTCTTGTAATTGTCCTATTTATTGTTACATCCCCCCTCTCATAATATTGCAAAGCGCTACAGAATCTGTTGGCGCTGTATAAATGGCGATAATAATAATAATAATAATAATAATTACATACACTAAATAATTACATGCAGAAATTTACTGCACCAATATTTTCCCATAGAAAACCTTGAGAAGTGCAATAAATGTCCTGATTCTATTGCCAGCAATAAGTTTTGTCTCATACAACAAACCTGATTTAAATGATACTTTTTTAACAGGACTTGGGACTGTGCAGGTACCCTCCCCACACACCCGCCATCCCCATAAACATATTTACATATAGAGACACAGCACCTCCTATGCTGCGGTCTTATCATGCACCCAATCCTACCACCATCACATGCCACACTTTAAATCCCTTGATATGCTACAGATTCCCATTTACATAAAAACCTCTCCATTCACCAATCTCCACTGCCACATGTCCTTCCATAGCAACTATCCTCTACAAGTCTGCCCTCTCAAGTACCCTATATAAGCTATGTCCAATCACTGTCAGCCCTTTCAGTTAAACCAAATGACATAGTAAGTCCACTCGATACCTCAAAAGACACTCGTGGTGGTTGGACATTCCTGCTCTACAAATTTATGTTGCATTTCTACAACTGTGTCATCTCTCTCTCTCCAAACAAACATACTTCATCTCCACCTTCTCACACGACCCCAAACTCTTCTTTCAAACATTTCATTTACAAATATATTGCAATATTTTCAAATATTAGATGAATAAGTCAATGAAAGTTATGTTGATATGAGTTTGCTCGTGACAGTATTTTTCACATCAGCAACTAATGCAAATAGAAATGGGCTTCAACAGAATGTAGTATGTAGTATGTACTATTGCAAATTCCTCATGAAATCACAATGTTTAATCATGTATAATTAAACACTCTTCATCTATTCATGTATCATATCTTATATAAAAAAAGGAAGCGAAACAACAACATAATTGAATTGTATTGCCAATCCCAACAGAGAGTTTGATCTTGATGTATTTCAATGACCCATTTCTAACAAATCTTTCTTTTCTTTTTTTTTGCTGTGTAGTTTGCCGTGATGTTTCCTGTGCTGGTAGCAATGTATCTTCTCCTACCTCTTTGTGTATGTAAGTATTTATATATATATATGTTTCTTGTGTTATTCTTGTACATCACTTGCTACTACTTCTGCTAATTTCTCATTTTTATTTTTGCCCTTCTAGTATATGTATTTTTTATTTGAGTCACATGATCACTACACATGTCATATGATTGTGCAGTGTTCTCCTTTACCTATCACCATTCAATTATGTCATTGTGTCACATGGTTTTAGATATGAGTATAAATAGATGCCTAATTGAGTGTCAGCAGAAATATGACTATATAAGGAATTTGCTGTAATAAAGAATCTATACTATCTTCTTTCAACTCATTCCTATTTTCAGGATGGATTTGCAGAACCTTTGGGACAAAGGGCTGAAAGTTGCATCACTGTGTGCAGTGGCTTTTTCCTTGGATGCTGGCTCCCAGTCAAATAAAGCTGGAGGATCTCCACAACTTCACTACATCAGCCAGAGAACTGAAATCTCTATGTCTCAGCTAAGCCCGACTGATAGCTCATTGGCAGAGAGCAATCAACTGCTTGCAGCCAATGACCTTAGAGCTAATAGAAACTCCTAAACAGGGGTTTAAAGCTCTCTAGCTGATGTAGGTGGGGTGCAGCACCATGTGGAACCCATGTTATAAGTCAAACCATTCTAAAATGGTTTGACTACTTACAATGGAGTGGTGCCAGGACACTATAGTGGTTATGGTACTTTGAATGTTCCTTTAACTAAAATTAGAGTATAAAACAGATAGTAACTAAAATGAATGTCCTTCTCTTTAATTATCCACTATTAATTAATGTCCATTGCCAGTTGAAGACATTCTTTTACTATTTTCTGATTCCGTTATTTACTCAATCAGGCCTATTCGTAGCTTTTTCCTAAATTTGGTTGACCATATACTAACTACAGTCAGTTTGATCCTAATTATTTTCTGGTTATGGATTATTCTGAATCCTCTACAGAATATACACTTGCCTTTCCCACTGTCACTCATGTTATCACACTGCCAAACCTGTTTAGTATTTTTAAATCTCTGTTATTCTCCTTAATCACACTGGTCATCAACAGAGTCCCAGCAGCGACACAAACACACGTGTTTAAATGGATCCTATAGTGCCAGAAAAACAAACCTGTTTTCTTGACACTATAGACTCCTGGAGTGCCCCCCTCCCTTGTGGCCCCCCTCCTGCGGTTCTGAAGGATTTAAAATCCCTTCACCCACTTACCTGAATCCAGCGCCAATATCCCTAGGTGCTGGGTCAGGTTCTGCCCACACTCCTCCCCCACTGACATCAGCCGGTGAAGGAGACCTAATGTGCATGCGCGGCAATGGCCATGCGCCCAACAAACCTCCCCATAGGAAAGCATTATTCAATTAGACAGCCATAGAGGGTCGACTTAGAGCTGCAATGTAAAGCTGCTGAAGTAATCTGGGTGCCTACAGTGTCCCTTTAATACACAAGTATGAATGACTATTAAAGATCAATATATGACTAGTTTGGCACTTAGTCACTGATATTATCTCAAAATTCTGAGTTATCACTGGTTCTTTACAATGAGCTCTCGTGCAAAGATTTCTCGTGCTGAAATAGAGCAGAAATAATGCGATGAACATGACAGGTATTTAAAAATAAATAGCTTTTTTTTTTAAATAAAATTACTAACTGAAAATTCATACACTTCATGCAACTCTTCCAATGAGAGTATTTTAAGACTATCTCCGACCATGGATGTTTATGGCAGATTAAAGGTGAGAGGGTGTACTGGGAAAGTGGGAATCTACTACCTTGACAAATAAACATACTTATCAAATGTTTTTGATAACCAATCTGACATCTAAATGACATGCAACGTCAACTTCTATTAAGAAGTTTGCAAATGATGACAGCCTTGGAAAAATGTTCCTAAGGAAAGCATATTTACAGAAATTCAGTTGATACTGCAGTATGTCATAAACTCAGTGACCAGAAAGTAAAGATAAAAGGGTAAGCAGTAGAGTTTGATATCATTTAATTGAAGAAATAACCTGACCAGCTGCTATGAACTACGCCTTCATGGAGCATCATCTAAGTGACTTGTAAAAGTAAAGAAAAATCATACTGAGGATTGTTTGAAGAATTTTTTCACATGTATATTTTCAGTGTCAGGTCAAATATACTCTCGCTGCATTTTTTTTTACTTTTTAGCTTTTTTAAACTGTAAAATTGTTTACTGCAATAAAACTAGCTTAACTGCTAAAAGTTTGGAAAAATCATATTGAGGATTTTTGAAGATTATTTGAAGAATATTTTCACATGTGTATTTTTAGTGACAGGTCAAATGTGCTATCACTGTAGTATTCTTGTAATTTTTTTATGGTATTTTTTTTTTTTTTAACTGGAACATTATCTGTGATAATAATAGCTTAGCTGCTGATGTCACCATAGTTTTATCATTAGTAATAATATTTAATATATTATATATAAGTATATACCAGTGAGAAATATAGTGATCATTAAAATGAACTCATAATGATAATCATAGCTGACACTTTAAATAAAATAGAATACAAATAAATTGAATTCAAATTAAACTTTTTATGTGCTCAGTGATGAGTTAGTGTCCCCTATAGGGATGTTACACAGAACAAACACTTTAATATTTTACAGAGGATATTAGTAATATTACATAGTTACATAGCTGAAAAGAGACTTGCGTCCATCAAGTTCAGCCTTCCTCACATTTGTTTTTTGCTGTTGATCCAAAAGAAGGCAAAAAAACCCAGTTTGAAGCACAATTATTCCTTCTTGACTCCAGAATTGCAGTCAGATTTATCCCTAGATCAAGCAGTTATTACCCTACATTGAAAGATTATATCCTTGAATATTCTGTTTTTGCAAGTATGCATCTAGTAGCTGTTTGAACATCTGTATGAACTCTGATAAAACCACTTCTTCCGGCAGAGAATTCCACATCCTGATTGTTCTTACAGTAAAAAAACCTTTGCTTTGCCTTAGACTAAATCTTCTTTCTTCCAGTCTAAACGCATGACCTCGTGTCCTATGTAAAGTCCGGTTTGTGAATAGATTTCCACACAATGGTTTGTATTGGCCCCGAATATATTTGTATAATGTTATCATATCCCCTCTCAGGCGACGTTTTTCTAAACTAAATAGGTTTAAATTTGTTAACCTTTCTTCATAGCTGATATGTTCCATTCCTTTTATTAATTTTGTAGCCCGCCTCTGCACTTTTTCCAGGGCCATAACATCCTTCTTTAGAACAGATGCCCAAAATTGCTCAGCATATTCAATATGTGGTCTTACCAGTGATTTATAAAGAGGCAAAATGATATTCTTGTCACGAGAATGAATGCCCTTTTTCATGCAAGACAATACCTTACTGGCCTTGGCCACTGCTGATTGACATTGCAGATTGTTGCATAGTTTGTTGTCTATAACAATTCCCAAGTCCTTTTCGTGTGTTGTTATCCCTAATTCGCTTCCATTAAGGATATACGTTGCTTGTGTATTCTTTACGCCGAAGTGCATAACTTTGCATTTTTCAACATTAAATTTCATCTGCCATTTGAGGGCCCAGTCTCCCAGTCTATCTAAATCCCTCTGCAGCAAAGTAATATCTTGCTCACATTGTATTAGTTTACAATGTTTAGTGTCATCTGCAAACACTGAAACATGACTTTCAATGCTGTCTTCAAGATCATTTATAAATATGTTAAATAGAAGGGGTCCCAGAACAGACCCCTGAGGGACACCACTTGCCACTTCTGTCCAGCTTGAAAATTCACCATTAATGACAACTCTTTGTACTCTGTTTTTAAGCCAATGTTCTACCCAAGAACAAGCATTTTGATCTAGACCGATTTCTTGAGTTTGAACACTAATCTATTGTGTGGAACTGTATACAATGCCTTGGCAAAATCCAAACAGATCACATCCACTGCAACACCCTGATCTATACTTCTACTTACTTCATCATAGAACACAATCAACTTAGTTTGACATGACCTGTGCTTCATAAAACTGTGCTGATTTTGGCTGATAACCATCTTCTTCTCAAGGAATTCTTGAATATTATCCCTTAATAACCTTTCAAATATTTTCCCAGCCACAGAAGTTAAGCTCACAGGTCTATAATTTCCAGGCAAGGATTTTTAACCCTTTTTAAATATAGGAACCACATCTGCCTTCCTCCAATCCTCCGGAACACTTCCTGAAAGAAAAGAATCTTGAAAGATTAAAAACAGATGTTCACTTATTTCTACACTTAGTTCCTTAAGTACTCATGGATGGATACCGTCAGGCCCAGGAGCTTTGTTTATATTAACTTTCATTAGTTGCTGCAGCACCTTGTCTTGAGTTAACCAATTACAATTACTCTGCAAGTTTTTAGTAGCAATCATTTGCACATCTATTGCCATGGGTTCTTCCTTAATATATACAGAGGAGAAATAGTTATTTAAAATTCCTGCCTTTTCCTGGTCTTCATTAACTAACACACCCGTTTCAGTTTTTAGTGTACCTACACTTTAATTTTTGTTTTGTTTTTAGAATTTATGTACTTAAAAAATGCTTTGGGGTTGGTTTTGCTCTCTTTAGCTATCCTTTTTTCATTTTGAAGTTTAGCAAATCTATTTGCCTTTTTGCACGCATTATTTGTTTCCTTATATCTTTTATAAAATGCATCTGATTTGTCCGATTTAAATGCTTTAAATGCCCTTTTCTTATTTTTAATCTCTTGTTTTACTTCTCTACTAAGCCACATTGGTTTTAATTTGTTTCTTTTATATTTATTTCCCAATGGTACATACTGAAAAATGTACCTTTCTAATATTTGTTGGAAGATGATCCATTTATCCTCAGTGTTCTTTTTACTAAAGAGTTTATGCCAGTCAATATATTGTAAAGCTTCCCTTAACTTATTGAAATTGGCTTTTTTTAAATTATATGTTTTAGTATTACCCATGTGCTTTTGTTTTTTTGAGCTTATTTCAAAGGACACTATATTGTGATCACTATTTCCCAAGTGCTCACTTACTTGAATGTTGGTCAAAAGATCAACGTTGTTTGTTAAAACCAGGTCCAGACAAGCATCCATTCTAGTTGGTGCTTGTACAAGTTGTGACATGAAGGTGTCATTTAACAAGTTTAAAAACCTAATTCCCTTTGCTGAGCTACTAGTCCCACTGTCCCAATTTATGCCCGGGTAATTTAAATCTCCAATAATTAAAGTGTTACCCAGATTTGCAGCTTTCTCAATTTGCTCAAACAGCTGTTGTTCCTCTTCAATATTAACATTAGGTGGTTTATAACATATCCCAACCAATAGTTCCCCCAAGCAGATATTTACCCATAAAGCTTCCACATTTTCCTCATCGCATTCCATTTGCTTAAGATTTGGCTTTAAATCATGGTTGACATACAAACATACCCCACCACCCTTCTTGTTTTTCCTATCCTTTCTAAATAACATGTACCCATTTAAGTTAACTGCCCACCATGTGTATGTGTCTCATCCCACCATGTTTCAGTTATGCCTATTATATCATATTGTTTAGTGTATGCTAATGCCTCTCGTTCCACCATTTTGTTATTTAGGCTCCTTGCATTAGTAAGCATACATTTAATATTTTGTGAATTATCAACATTACATAGCTTCTCTGTTCTGAGCTTGCCCCTCCCCCCATCTCCACCCCCCTTATACTGTGCTATAGCCCATCTCCTTTCTGTCCTATCTCCATTTTGTAGATTGCTATGACCATCCCCCCCTACTACTAGTTTAAAATCTCCTCCAACCTTCTAGCCATCCTATCCCCCAGCATTGCAGACCCTCTCGCGTTTAGGTGCAATCCATCACTACTATAAAGGTTGTACCCAATCGCAAAGTCGGCCCAGTGCTCTAAAAACCCAAAACCCTACTTCCTGCACCAAGACTTAAGCCACGCATTGACCTCTCTAATCTCCCGCTGCCTTTTCACTGTAGAGCGTGGCACAGGTAATATCTGAGAGAATACCACCTTGGAGGTCCTTTTCTTAAGTTTGCTACCTAATTCCCTGAAATCATTCTTTAGGACCTTCCATCTTCCTCTTACTTTGTCATTGGTACCAATATGGACCATGACAGCTGGGTCATCCCCAGCCCCTCCCAATAATCCATCCACGCTGTCAGCAACATGCCGGACCCGAGCACCCGGGAGACAGCAAACTGTCCGGTTGAGCCGATCAGAGCGGCAAATTGTCCTATCTGCTCTCCCAATGATAGAGTCCCCTACCACCACAACCTGTCTTGCTTTCCTTACATTTTGATCCCCACCCGTACTAGGGGGGCTGTTAGCTCGGCTGTTAGAAGTAACAGCTTCCTCTAATACAGCTACTCCTGAGCTGATGCTCCCAACATCTTCCCTCAAACGGGCAAATCTGCTAGGTTGCACCAAATCAGGACTAGCTAGCCCTTTCCTCTTCCCTCCCCCCCTGCTTCCTCGCCCCACTGTCACCCAGCTACATGCCTGTTCCCCATCTGTCTTATCTCCTCCCTCTCCACTACCTGTCCCCACTAAACTCTGCTCAGTGAGCAGCAGACTCCTCTCAAGATTGTCAATCTCCCTCAAAGTTGTGATTTGCTTATCGAGATCTCCAATCTGAGCTTCCAGAGAAGCCACTCGCACACAACCATCACAGAAGTATGGACCCTGGACAGGTACATCCAGGCATCCATACATGCAACAAAATGTGCATTGAGTCAAACCAGCAATCTTGCTAACACTCATTTACCCAGATACAGAACAATAAAACAATTACCTTATTAGCTTAAACCCCTAGTTAGTTTTAACTCCTGATTTTCTAACTCCTACTTGAAAGAGTCTACTTAATAGAGTCTGCTTTCAAGTAATGTGAGCAAGCTCAGTGAGTTAGGGGTGTGCCTTTATGGGTATACAAATCCCACACAGGTGCAATTAATGAACACTCCCCCAATCAATCAAGCAGCAGCACAAAAGAGGGGGAAAAACCAGAACACAGAAAAAAAAATGTTTTTTTAAAAAACAAAACTTTTTTTATTTTTTTATTTACCAATTTTACAGATTAAACAAAAATAAAATACAAACCACTCTCCACAGTATACAAACCACTCCAAGCAACTTCTGGTTTTCTCACTCCTACTTGAAAGAGTCTACTTAATAGTCAAGGAAAAGTGTACAATTGTATAGATAGCAGAATAACTGACTTGCCAAGAGGGTAAGTGCCATGAAAAGACTTCTTTAAAAGAAGTCAGAGTAAACCTTACTGACCTGGTCCCCCCCTCCTTCATTTTAATTTTTTTTTTATATAAACTAAGCAATACGTTACTTCCATTCCCACACCATCTGGAAGCCCAATCCTTATACGCTGACCTTACTCCCCCTCATAAGAAGCAGAGTGATAGCTAAGCCAATGACATTTCCAGAGGTGAAGTTACACCTCCCGCAACAAAGCGGTTAAATACTGTATGTGCCACATTTCTTCTTCTGATTTACAGAGAATCATAGAGGCAAATGATAAACAAAAAATATTAAAGTTGTGCATTCAGTTTTGGCCAAATTGCAATTTGTTAGAATTTAAGCTATTCGGTTGAATTCCATATCCCCGAAGTGAATGCACCTATAACCTAACAACTAGCGGGATTGCGGAATATTTTGTTTTATTTGGTAAGCAACATTCCGACCATGGTGCCAAAACAAAAAAAAACAATTGATATGGAAAAAGATGATTTTATTCATAGTTTAAGTGACCAATGGAGGGGATAAAAGAAGAAGCAGTAAAAATATTTATATTTACATATTTATTATTTATATTTATTATATATTTAAATATTTCCATCTATATATTTTCTCACTTGATCTGTGATCAAAATGGCAGGAAAATACACCTGTCACTGTGCTGCAAAATATAATATTTGTATTATGTATTTAATTTGCAGTACACTGATTGGTTCATTTTCACACCCTATCTTTCCAAAGCATTTTTCATGGACAATATTTGTGAGTCAACCTGAACTGCATCCTTTGCAAGCCCTCTGCTTTTTCCCCAGAAGAGACTTTCCGTCTATTCAATGGGAAAGTACTTATTTGTTGCTTCTCATTGAGATGTCTCCAATTGGCTCCCTCTGTGCATGTGCATGCACAAGCAGCATACTGATCTGAGGTCTTGGCACGGGTATGAGGTATGCAGGGGAAGGCAGGCGCACTCAAGTACAGTGCACTTGACACTTGAGTTGGCTCAGGAGAGCTAACAGAAGCAGGAAGAAGTTGTTTGATTACCAGAGGGTTGTTTTTAATTAATTATAAAAGAAAAATCATCCTGAGATTTCATTATGTGTAGAATAAAGAGATCAATCTATAATTAGTGGTCTACAGAATGTTTGTTGATATTAACATGTATTAAAGGAACAATGGTAAATGTGTGTTGCATGTATTCGTTAAAATGTATTAGTTAAAATACATTTTTTTAATAAACAACACATTTTTACTAATTTCCCTTATTTTAAAATGGTATTTCTTAAGGTTCATGATGCCACTTCTTCTTTTCTGATTCTGGCTCGTAAGCATGTCTTAAATGCCTAAACCCAAAGTTCTGTGGAAGGCATCTGCTCTGCCCTCCTCTCCTGGTCCCTCTTATTTATGTATTTATTACTGGTATTTATAAAGTGCCAACAGATTCCACAGCACTGTACAATTAGTGGAGAATGTACAATATACTTAGACAAATACAAGCGGTAGAGAGAGCCCTGCCCGTAAGCTGATAACTAGCCATTGAAGCTCTTTTTACAAAGTGCTTAGCTAGATAGCCAGTGAGCTTACAATCTAAAGGATACCATGGGGATTTGAGACAAAAGGAAATTTGGGGTCAATGGCTAAAAGAGTTAACAGAGCTATTGGTAAAATGTAAAAGGCAATGAAGAGGTAATTGAGTGAGAATCTCAAACAGCTGGAGGAGCATGCTATATACTTAGGGGGAACCTGGGCGGGTGGGAAGTGGTGAGGGGAAAAAAAATGCAGAGCATCCTGATCGCTGCTCCTATGAGTGAGTATGAGTGTGAGATGAGGCCTGAGGAACAGAGATGGCGATAGAACAGTTATATGAGGGTATTTACAGGCATGAGGAGCATGGGGGAGGGGAGCAGAGGTGAGGGGAGAGGTAGAGTAGCTATGTGTTACAAAGTTTAGCAACCAAATTCTATCAATATAGATATTAATAACTGTGTACATAAAATATTGGTCAGAAACCTTAAATGACAATGATAAAAACTGCATGCACAGAAAATTACAGTGGCAAACTATAGGTATAATTGGAAACGATTCAAAAGTAACATATGATAATATAGTAGCAATGTAAGAATAAATGAGGTGAAGTATCTTACAACCTACAGTCAGTACCTTGGCGTTGTGGGAGTTACTGCAGGATGTTAAATGCAGAGCATCACAATCGCTGTTCCTAAGAGTGAGTATAAATGTGAGATGAGGCCTTGGCATTGTGGGAGTTACTACAGCATGTTAAATGCAGAGCATCACAATCGCTGTGAGTTTGAGTGTAAGATGATGCTACTGGCCTATATCTAACTTCCTTTTGAGAAAATAGCACCAGAAAGGTCCATATGGTTTAACCGCTTGAGATAAGCCAATGACCAGCACCTCCAGGCTCCATAACAACTTCATTGGGATGAAGTTGCTATGGTGCACAGAGTATTCCTTTAATTTTTGTCATAATTTGTCTTTCATAACACCATGTTGATTACTACTAATGGCATTCTTATTCACAATGAATTCCTGAATATTATTCCTTTACCTTTTGAATAAATTTACAAACCGCAGATGTTAAGCTCTTAGGTCTGGGATCCCTTTTTAGTATAAGCATTATATCTTCTTATTTGCAGTCCTTTGATATGGCATATGAAAGAAAAGAATACTAAAAGCATACAAACAGTGGTTTTGCTATTTCTATCATATGCTTTCTAACATGTGTGCCTTGGGCCTTTGTTTAACTTATTTAATTGCTGTACAAATTGACTTGCATCATCCAACTAAACTTTTTTGTAAGTTTTTGTTGTTTGCTTTTTGTTTTTTTGTAGATGTGATTTGTAGATGTGATTCTGTAACAATATAAAATATTGTGAAACAAAACATATTGTGAGCAAAGACAATCAAGGTTATTAACTCAAATGAGAATTGTCAGGTGTTCAAAGTGAATTTAAAATTTTGAGACCAAAATATCCAAACTGGAAATATATCTGACTTGGACAATGATTCCAATTTAAATATTTTGCCTTTAAATTCTAAATTCACTTTGAATTTCCAATAATTGACTATTAACCCTGAATGTATTTTGGGGCTCAGTTAGAAATTCTAAGAATGTATTCAGAGCAGGAAAGAAATACCATCAAAGGTTACATTATTGGCAATATGCAATTAATCAAATTCAATAAGCAAGATAGGTAACGTGACTATAATTTGTTAAAGGGACACTCCACTGCCAAAATATAAAATAAATAAAAATCACAGTTTAGTAGATATACCCCCAATAAAACGTGCATGCATTTAACAATGCATTTGAGTTCCATCTACAACTTGCAAAACCTTTAGTTATCTTATTTGCTGACTTTGCAAGCCCTCCCCTTGTAACTCCGCCCAGATTTTCTGTGGCTGTTCAATCACAGACTTCCCAATGCAGCTCAATGAGAAGTGTTTGCAAGACAGGTGCTCTGGGCAATGCTGACTCTTGAGTTTAGTGCAAATTTGTTAACCAAACTAGGAAGCAACAGGATCTGAATGAAAACAAGAGCACACACTATCCACACATAAAGCTTTACAGCAAGCTAAAGTGCTTTATGAGTCTGGAGTGTCCTTTTAATATCAGGTACATACAGAATCAGGAAGTAAGATTTGGTAACAGGAAGTACAGTCAGGTTCAAGAAGTAGTGATAGAAGACAGAAAACACCACAAAGGGTTAAACTAATTTGCTGAGCATTCATATTCAGGAAGTGAGAGAGGCAGACAGGAAATACCATCAAGGATTTTATTATAGTGATGAGGTGTACAGTCATCTTAATGAAGCAGGGGTGGCTGTAAGAGCACACATGTTGATTAATATTAAAGGGACACTATAGTCACCAAAACAACTTTAGCTTAATGAAGCCGTTTTAGTGTATAGATCATGCCCCTGCAGTCTCACTGCTAAATTCTCTGCCATTTAGGAGTTAAATCACTTTGTTTATGAACCCTAGTCACACCTCCCTGCATGTGACTTGCACAGCCTTCCTAAACACTTCCTGTAAAGAGTCATCTACAGTTTATAATTCCTTTATTGCAAGTTCTGTTTAATTTAGTTTTTCATATCCCCTGCTATGTTAATAGCTTGCTAGACCCTGCAAGAGCCTCTTGTATGTGATTAAAGTTCAATTTAATCCTAAATGGCAGAGAATTGAGCAGTGAAACCTGAGAAGCATGATCTATACACTAAAACTGTTTCATTAAGCTAAAGTTGTTTAGGTGACTATAGTGTCCCTTTAAATAATTAATGGTTTGGTGTAGTCTTTCCATTCTAGTCTCATGTTCTGATCTTATTTTAATTACAGAAGTGATGCACTGCTGCTACTCGCCCTACTGATGCTTTTCCAAGACTGAAGATCCTGGGTCCATGTCAGAACTCTCTACTCACTAAAGACCTATCCATAGCCCCCTGTGTTCTTCACACCACACTTCATATTTCTGACTCTGTTTCCTAATTTCTAATTTAAGATGTGTCTTCTCACTTGAAATTTTTCTGCCTGATTTAGAACTATTTGTGCAGTTTTCTACATGCCAGACTCATCCAGATCCTTCTGCTCACTTCAAGCCATGGTGCCCATATCAGACCTTAATTCTGAAACATAGTCCATTGTCAATTATTTTCCCACTGTTCACATTCAGTTGCATTAATATTTAATTAGCTGAAATATATAAATATATCAGACAATGGGTGTTAAAAAGTTTCATCCATTTAAAAAAACATGTAACCAGAGGTTGGAGCATTCTTCAAGCCATAATCATCATGGGAAATTTTATTACAGTATAGTCTTAAGAGTTTAAGAACATCATAAAATGAACATTGTATTCATAATAGAACAAAAGGATTCAGGAGTAAAGGATTTCAGGTGATTAGTTTTATGTTTTGTTTTGTGCTGAAGAATTTTTAAATTTGTACATTAAAAACAATGGATTTAAAGTAAAAAAAACAAAAAAACGTATTGCGTGCTTGGCTTTTACCTAATAGCAAAAACAAAAAAATCTAAAAGAGCTTTAAAATATTGCAGAAATCAAAGAAGTGTTTGTTTTTTTTTGCTTTTGTTTGAGTCTTCAAACACCAAATATGTCAGCATTCCAGTAATTTAGAACTTTTTGTTGCGCAAAAAAAAAATTACAGGGGTTCATTTTCTGAGCATTGAATTGTAGTGAATTACCAATTTTAGGCAGAAACAGATTAGGGAACATTTCAAAATTAAATCTATTTTACTTGAGTTTTGAAATGTAGTTTTCAGTTTGCTACAGTTATTTCTTTTAGTAAATAGGCTCAATAAAGTTGAATCATGAATATCATTTTGTTGTTGTTCTATTTTTAAGCAATGATCTTAAATGAACAGACATCCAAACAATGTTTATTGTGCACAATAAGAGACTACGAAACACAAAGTATCATCAAGGAATTTGCAAAGAAAATTACATCTAGAGGTAAATAGCTTTGTGTTTGCAACACCACACTGTATAGAAATAAAGCAATAATAATCATTAATGAACCTGGTGACTGAGTAAAAACATCACATATACGTTATCTAAAAAAAACACGTATAGATCTGGTTAGCTAATGTGCAATATTCCATTAATTTAAACTGGAACTTTATAAAAAGAAGTGTTTTCAAATAAAAACTACTAAACTATACTATTACTTATACCTGTATACCTAAATTGCATCAATATATAAAATGTCAGTTCATATTAGATGTTAAAACAAGGTCAGTTATAAGTGTGAGTAAAATTAATGTGCCACTCCAGCTTGACTGAACTATACAGGAAATTCAGGTTGTTCAATCTCGTCTATCATAATTAGCCTTCCTTGTTAAGGAAACTATGTGCTACTGGTTGAAACAAATTAGCTATCTGTCACCAGATGGATAATGAGTCTGCATACAGGACTGGGGTTGGTCGTAGGGGTATTGTTCTTAATTCGGTATTACAGAGCACTTAGGAGACCACGCTAGTTAATTGATTAGATGGTGATATCCATAATATGTTTTGAAGTTATGTGGTGTCAGCGAATAAGAAGTTCCGAACAGACTGTCAACGAAATCAGAATTTTCTTAAAAATGCAAAGCGAGAATAAACCAGGTGGACAAAAAATATATTCCTGGGGTTTGTTCAATAAACAGTAACTTGTTATAAGCTAATTGTAAACCAAAATAAGTCAACTTGGAAATAGAAACATCAAGTTAAGCATGCTGGAGAATTGATACAACTTGGGTATTTTCACCTAATTTTTTTCAAGTCTGTTGTTTGATCACCCTATCTCCTTCCTTAATGAATTAGCCCTGCTGTGTTGTTGTTAAGGGACTAAACCAGTGGTTTTGTTTTAATTTTCAGATGATTATCAATTCCAAAAAAAAAATGCACGCCTTTAATATTTTAAGTGTTACCTACAATAATAATATAGGACTCAACAAGCTTTTAAATTAAAGTTACTTGTGCAATCCAAAGTATTCATCCACAAATCGTAGCTTAGTTATAGGGGCCCACTAGTGCAGCCCAAATTTTTTCAAAAAGCATCCAAAGTATAGATCTTTCAGGACCCCGGTCCCTTTATCAATGATCAAGGCCCTCAATCCATGCAACAAACTTGCCAGAATATATATGATATATACCCTCCACCAACAGGACACCGCTTGTTCCATCTGCTGCTGCCGGTGTTCTATCAGACAAGTATACTTATCAGATTTCTATACTGACGTCACTTCCGGTACGCCCGTGCTTGCTGATCTCTGGGTATAGAATTCTGACGGAGGCCCCGCGCGCTTGCGCTCTACCTCCAATGATGGAGGATCAGCTGATCCTCTGATCTGAAGGTGTACTGCATATGCACGTGGCACACCCTCCAGATACAGTATAGAAATCTGATGGTAGAACTGTACATGCCCGCGGCACATCCATCAGATATAGAAATCTAATAGGTGTACTGCGCATGCACACGTTGCATCAATCAGATTTCTATACTACAGCTTTCACTGTGTACTAACACACTTGGAAGGTTAATGGGGGTCATATACTGATGTGGGGGATAATGTTGTGACACACAGGGGATGGGGCGGTTATACGCTGGAGATGGGGAGTTTATGGGAGTTTATGGGGGTTAATGGTGTGACACGTACAGGGGGTAGGGGGGTGACACACTGTGGATTGGGGGGTTAATGTGTCACCCCCATTAATCCCCCTATCCCCTGTGTGTCACTCCCATTAACCCCTCATCCCCAGTGTATAACCCACATTTATCCCCATCTCTGTGTGTCACAACATTATCCCCCCCATCCCCAGTATATAACCCCCATTAACAATTCTATATCTGACTGATGTGCTACGCGCATGTGCAGTACACCAGTCAGATTTCTATATTAGATAGAATTAGAGGATATATTAGTCTAGATTAGAGGATCAGCTGATCCCATGTCACTTGAGGTGGCGTGCATGCGTTAGGCACCCCTGTCAGAATTCTATACCCTGAGATCAGCAAGCAGGCAGCTGATCTTGCATCACTTCCGGTGACGCGGGTGCACCAGACTTGATGTCCGTATAGAAATATGATAAGTATACTAATCTGATAGAGCACCGGCTCCATTGCTCCCTGCCGAGATCTCGCGAGATCTAGTGATGTCATTGGCATGAGTCACAGTGCCTAGCAACAGTCACTAGGTGAAGGAGTCAGCAAACTGCTAAAATCAAGTATATGCAGTAGTTAGATTGAATATAAGTTTATAACAACTACAAAAAGGCGTATTAAATAATCTAAACTTATAAAAGCACATAGAAAATAGAGTCTGCAACTCTATATCAAAGCATATAATCCCAATGCAAATAAACCATAATAGAAAAACATTAGTTATGTATATTAACCCTTAATACAGCAGATGCAAACAATTCAAAGCTTCTAGTACAAGTAAGTATAATTCAGCACATAAAGTAAATACTGACAATACAACACAAAGCAAAATACAGTGTATCAAAATGAAATGCTAGCCTGGACAAAGTAAACAAATAATCACTTAAAACCAATCTGAGGAGGGAATAAACTCAGTCAGGATCCTTATAACATCTGTTATACTCTTCTTGCTGTTGAGGCTACAACAGCTCATACACAATAGCTGCATTAGGTTAAACTATTTTTCTTTTTGGTATTGTGCTATACCACACTGCTAGATCATACTTTTGCTTTATTGACACATTATACTTTTCATTCACAGCAGCCATAAATATATAGTCTGAATGGTACCTACATCATACAGTAGCCACACCATCTACGCACATAGCACATTTGTGACATAATACACTAGACAGTGGCATAATACTCAAACAAGAATCTCGCATGACGCACATATGGTGGAGTGGAAATTATGAACTTCTTTGGAATAAATAGGCCTCTTGATTAAAATATTGTCATTCCATCCAAGAAAATGATAGCCATAGTTCCCCAGCATCATTGGTAATTGTATTGATTATCTGTTTCCTCTTTATTTGTTTACTGATTTCCTCAATTTATTGCCCTGCTATAAAATAAACACTTTATAGACTAGTGAAGCGATGCAAATGAACAAACTTACAACTTTGATTCATGAAAATGCTAAGCAATTTTATAAAATATGGGACCCAAGATGTGAAAGAGTTTTCATAGTTTTACCCTTTCTACCGTGTCTTCCCCCTGTCGCTCCCATTCTCTCTTTCATGGGCTGCTACTCCTTCTTCCTCAAATTATATATACTTTGTTTTGGTTTATATTGTATCATTTTAATTGAAGAGCTGATATGATCAGTTTATTTACCACTATGGTGTCACCTGGGTGGTTGTAGAATGCACTGAGACATATATTGTTGGAACATAATCTCATCTGAAGGGAACAATATACTGGCTCTATCCTCGGAAATAACTGAGGCACCTTTTAACTTATATAATTGAAACATGAATAAAAACAGCTAGCTACTACTTGTATTGTTTTGTGTTTTCGCACCATTGTATTTTTGTTTTGTTATATGTAACATGTTGACCTCCAATGGATCCTTTTGTTCTTTCTACTTTTCAAATTAATCCTTGCAATATTTATCTTTTGTAATGCAATCTCTAATAAGTAAATAAAGAATGTTTTAAAATAAGCACTTTATGTGCTTAAAGTGAAAGAAAATTTGCAATGCTGCTTTTAGCTCGCAACTCACTTTTTAGTTAGTCAGTATATGTACTTTGCTATTTTGCTAATTTCGCAAACTATTCATTGAATAAATATCTGAGGCTTCCAATCAATCTCATTTTTGTAATAATTCTTTGCCTTTCCATCTTGTTCTTGGATTAGCATTTTTGACAGGGACCCAAAATGCATACACGGCATTAGCTTTACGACCCTTTCTTTAATTTTGCAAATACATCTGTCACCCATTCTACAGCTACAACACAATTTAAATAAATTGTATTCTAAAAAACATTTTGTGACAAACACTCCTTACTCTGGATGTTTGCCACGAACTCCTGGAGGAGTGTGGAAGCTAGCCTCCTGCCCATCGACTATGGGCAATATACATTCTGCCTAACTCACTATTTTCCCTTCTATTCTCAAGACATTTCCCTCCTGGTTAGTTTTTATAGTTTCCCAAACAGAAAGACTTTCCCTGTGTTTGGTAGATAAATCTACCAAACACTGACCACCCCGCTGGCTCTTTAACTACAAAGAAACCACAGACTTAAGTGCTCTCTCTGTGTGGCCACCGTTCGTGCAACTGAACGCCATTTGCTGGAGAAAACGGCAGCCATCTTGACGCACAAACGCAGGCAGCGGAACTTGGTCGTCGAGTGCCTGGAACTCTAAGTTGGACACTCGACCTTGCAGACACCGGTAAAATTATACGAATGCCTGCTTCTTTCCGCTACAAGCCAGGAGAGCTCTGTTCGGCAGGATTGTTCACACGAACAAGGTGAACAAACACTACCTATGAGCCAGGGGAACCATTCAACAGTTTATTCATATGGAACTCCCGAAAGCGACAGACCGCTATCACTGAATCTCTGGAACTAATTTGGCCAGACACCTTGTGTGTGGTTGGTCAAAACTTTACCCTGGTGGCAATTAGGCTGTATTCGTGGGATCTGAGCGCTATTTGGACAACTTTGGCACTCAGATCCAGGCTATCCGGGGATATAATATGTGGGGGTTCCTCTATGTCTTATGTGTATTTTTTATATTTTATGTTCTTATGCTTAGTCATTCTGACACCGAAATTCAGGGACGTGTTGTGGGAGTGTTTTGGGCGTGTGTTACTGTATCCTT